TACGTATTTTTTTGGCGACATGTATTCTTTGACGTACGTCATTTTTTTTCTTAGGAAACGACTAATTATAACTTATATAGTCGATTTTCGAATAATATTAATCATGAACTTATCTAAAAACAAATCTATAAAAATGTGTGAGCTCAGTATGTTGAATGAAATGCATTGTATGCATCCGTACTTGAAATGCTAAACAGTGACTGAATGTTTAAGAGATGAGACCTTAATAGTGCAAAGTATTCGACTTCGACACAGTTTTATGGTAGAGTCAATAACACTACCACTAACGACACAAAATACGATACATTTTATTTGAATGTTGTCATGTGCATTCATCGAGTAAAAATTCTTCATCATTTGAAACTTCACCGATACGAACACAAATGAAATAAGTTTCACAAAATATTAGAATATATACAATTTTATAGATAAACTCAATCGTTACAAAATATCTTCTTTTGCTATTCTTTCTGTTCAATATAACAAAAAAAAAATTGTTAGTATCTTCATTTCATAAGAAAACTTTACCTATTTGAAAGAATTAGAATGTGAGAATAATGAAAAATTAATACCAACTGATGATATAAAAATACACAAAAATGATATCTACTAGATTAATTGCCAGACTCGTGGTTCAGTGATTTCATGAATAATAACCAATGACATTGTAGCTGTTTCATGTGAATTGATGCAGTACTTGAAAATAACTAACAACATAAATAGTGTCAAACTGCAATAAAATATAGTTTTATATGTTCTTCAAGTAACTTCAGTTAAATCGATCTCTTACTTTCAACGAGTATCAATAAGCATCATCAAGAAAATGAATGATATAAAAAATAATAATAAGTTACATGTGCTGATACCCCAATGAGTAAGAGAAAAGAGACCAAATATTTTCGAAAATAGGTGTATTCCTTCTTCCTCTTTTTTTTTCTACATATAGTTTTTTTATTATGTAAAAGGTTTTACTGTTTTCCATTCATCATTCTCTGAATAATAGTGAGTTATACTCGACTAAAATACAAGATAGAGTTACATCATTGATTCGAAGAAACTCTAAAATTACATTTCCTTGCAATTCGATACTAATAATTGATTTCGTTATTCAATTGTATTCTTAAAATTCAAAATATATTCATGTTTTTCTGTGAGGACATCGAGTTTGATGAATACATGGACTAAAACAACGCGGCTTCCATAAACAGAGCTGATCAAAGAGAACATAAAAAAGAATGACTTTAATAACTGATACAAACGCCAAAATAACTAAAGAGTAGCTGATGTTATTTTTGTAGTTGGTTTGTTTTGTTATCTTTATATATTTTTCTCAACAACTTATGAAACATATTGACAATAATAAAACATGCCTCAACTAATCAGATTCAAACACTAGAAATACGAAGACATTTATATTAAATTAAGATATATTTCCAAGGCGACTGTGATATAAAAAAATGAATTTGTTTTCTCAATAATATCAACTGAACCTACAATATCAAGCAAACTCTGGACTTCGTAATGGATAAACAAAATGCCTTTTTTTTTTTCTAAAAATTGACTTTGTGTCAATCAACTGCTTCTTTTTCTAATACTTTTGCCGTACATGTGTGACATTAAAAATCGAAACGAAAACATTAGAGAAAGAATTTTGTTTATATGCATATGCAAATATGTATCAGAAAAAAGAAAACAACATCATGAGAAAATAAAAATACCAATACATACAATATATGATTAGTTAATGAAATAATTTGCTCGTTCAATATTGCATCCAGTAATTAGATTTATTCATTCAAAGTTTTTCATAAGTCTTCTATCCAAGACTTCGACAGTTTCGTTTTGTCAACATTTTTCTCTCACACAGTTTAATAACTTTTCAGAAAAAATAAAAGAAGAAGATAATATTATTAATTCATATGTTGATGATAGTCTAATAAATTAAAGATAGGAAATAATAAACTGTAAGAAACAGACATTGACTCATTGTTTAGCAATATTATTCTAGCACGTATGTGTTAAGATTAAACAGTTGAGCGCATAGCTCAATTGAATACTTAGCAATCATGTCATAGAAATTATTTCAATCAATTTAACATCGTAGAATTTTTTTTATGAAAAGAATCAAGACTGTTAACATAATCACAATTGGCTGTACGTTACCTATGTTAACTAGGAGTCTCAAATAGAGATGTACAGGGTAAGCTTTTCTTGTATTCTGTGTTTCGGCTGAGAAAAATTTTCTAATTCTTATTCTTCTCTACGTTACACATTTCTTGTGTCAAGTTTTTTTTAAGTATTTATGATTGTCGCCAAATGATTTCCAACAGTGATCTGTTATTATATTTCGTCAAAGTACAATATTTTTCTGTTGAACCTCACAATCAGTTTCAAATTTTGTTTTCTTCTTCAACGCCTGAAAATTTCAGCCGTTAAAAATATCCTTATTATATAAACTATTCAAGTCCTACATTAAGTTAGGATTAGATCTTTGGGAAGTTTCACAATATCAAAAAAAGATTGCGTCAAGCATTCCAATGTAGTATTTTCTTAAGACGTCATTAACTTGAAAAAGAAAAGCTTCCTCGTTGATCATTTATACAACATGTTTGATTAGAATCTTTTACGAAGAACTATTCCTACGTAAGAAAAAACATCATTACATTTTTAATTTCTGTGTTTGAACATAGCGAGACATTATTGGATAATTGTGCTATGACTTTGAAGAAAACAATCGCAACGTTGATTTGTGTTTATGCGTAAAGTTATATTTTGTAATTATTAATTGGGTTTTTTAGACAATCCAAAACCACTATATTATCAAGCTTTATGCCAAGAGGAATAAACGTTACAGAAACGTTTCTATCAAAGTAAATCAAAAATGATTTTTTGTTTCATTAATATCATCGATGGTCAAAGGTTTCAAACAATTAGATTCAGGCTAATGACATTTACTTATTATTGTTTTGAATTGCACTATTCATTCGACGTATAAAATCGATCAATAAAAACGAAAAGTCACTTGTATATGAATTCATTTATATGTGATCAAATATATAACAGATATTGCCATTGTAATCATAGGGGATTTGGTTCTTTTTTGTTTGTATACATTCACAATATGATAGAGTATATCATTGTAGTTATCGTCAATAATATTCTATTTCTGATGATTTCAAGAATTGTTTGATTCATTTTTTGTGATTAAATTCGTTTATTGACATCGTTTTGCATGGAATTCTATATATGATTAAAATTTATTGATTTCTTTGACCGAATCTTTTTCTTTACATTGTAATTCATTAATTTCATTTATTAATTGAGATTTAATATTAAATTTTTTTCTTTTACTTTTTTCTACTTTTTCAAAACTTCTTTAGCATAGTAAATCACATTATTGTAGCTTTTTTACCTTGATAGTTCATAAATATATTTGCCCTGTAAGATTAGCTTTAACACTGATAAATACTGCACATATATTCTCAATAATTTCATCTTAGTTATGGTAGGCAATTATTAAAAGTATATGTACCATGAAAATAGTCTTATTTTTACAGAGAATGATTTATAGTAACATTACATGACATTCGTTTCGTTTTCGAAGTACTGAGACTTCAGTTTCGATAGTCTAATTTGATGATTTTTATTGTTGTAGCTGAACAGATTTGCTTGATATTTTCCTAAACATAATAAATAGGTATTCATAACAGAATAAATTTGATCAGGATTTATTGTGATAGATTTATTGATCATATAAATCCTATGTTTAAATGATATTTCTTGAAAATTGTTTATAAATTTGATAAAAATTGGATTGATGCTTTAATGAAATAAAAGACTATTTATATTATGTATTTAAAAAGTATAGTTATTTTTTATAGGATCTCAGATAAACACGAGATCGTACATTGCAATATTAATGAATAATATCATGATAATTACATTTTTGTGAATTACTAATAACAGATAAGAAACTGTGTGAATCATGTAAAAACATCGAAGAAGAGATGATGAAAAATGACTTCTCGCAAACAAATTGTTGATTATAAGAATCTTTTTTTCAGATTATTTTTTTTTTGATGAAACAATATGGCAAGCTGGACGCATGAAGATTTCATGATAACTATTGTAGATTAGATGTAAATTATAAATATAGTATCAGACTTAATATGTAAAATAAAACGAGAAATAATTTATTCGTAGGTTGTTTATAAGAACTACATGAGCAGTTCGATTCAATAAAAAAAACTGCTAGTGCAATTCTTGCGACATTCAAATTGGAGACAGGACTCTATTGCTGTTGCTAATCTCAGGATGACTGTTTTTATTTTATCTATTTTGGAATACATTTCTTTACCATCTTGTTACTTAATCCTCTAGAAATACAAATAAAGTGATTCATATATTATAACGAGATATTATGGATATATTGTCTGTAACGCTCCTATGGTAACGTCTGTGGGAAGTTCGAACTTGCACTTCTGTACTTTAACGCTCCTTTTAGATCGTCTTGCAAAAAAACAGCAAACTTTTCTTGCAATTATATTTACTAAAGAAGATCTTTATACAATGATTTCCAATTAACGCTTTTGATAGTTACTATTATGACGATGATATCTGTTTAAAAAAGTAACTATTGTATTGGATAAAATTATAATAAAAGTTGCACAAGAAAATCAAATTGTTATGTGTTATTAAATAGGATCTCTAGTCACTTCTCTTTTAATATTTTTTTACCACCTTTGAAGAAAAACACTAATATAAAAAAACTAAACAAATCGTAATTAGAAATTTCAGCAGACGAAAATATTCAACGCAAAAGTTTAAATTATTTGTAAGCAAAAGAAATGCAGCTGAACTTTGATCAGGTAAACAATGAAAGTGCTGCATCATTGTTGACGTAGAGCGATAAAATTGACGTCATCAATATGCGACAAGTTTATTTCTGTTTTTTTTCTTTCTCTGTTCTATACATCATTCAAACAAAATAATTTTTACAGATGAAAGCATTTTTTATATGTCTTATATCAATCATTGTTATTAATTTATGTTCAACACGGGTCAATTATCACAGTAGCGATGGCTCTGGCGATCCAATTATTGCGGCTATTCTCATACCTTGCATTGTTGGTGTCGTCATCGTAGTTATTGTTATTATTGTTTGCAAAATAAAATGTGACAAGAGAAAAAGAATGGGTGTTTTGCCATTATCCAGAGACGCAACTTTAGCTGAATACAATAACCCATATGCACCACCATCTTATAGTCAAGTACCGCCTTATGCTCAACCACCACCCTATGAATATCCACCGTCTTATTTTGCACCTAGTGCATCCACTGAACCAGCAAAAACGATCGTTAATTCATGAAACATCATTGAATATGCATGTGTTTTCCATACAATCAATCATAAATGGATTATCATGTGAAATAGTTGAAGTTAAATGTCAATAGTATGATTTTATAGACTTACTATGATCACAAACAAAAATTGTGTTATCATTGTTATTGTGTGCACTTTTGAATTCTGTTATTCATCGATTTTTATCACACATTTCTTTTACATAAACATAGAGCCAATGAAAATATTAATAAATATGAAAGAAAAAACTATTCATGTGTCATTGCATCTTTGCTTGGAAATGAACTAAACTATTCCACTAAGTTAGATTTAAAATGTGCTAACGTCATCCAAAGAAATTGATCAAATTCTTATGTAAACATATCCTTCATAGTTGACTTAATGGAATAAAAGTAATGCTGTTCATAGCCTTCTACGAACAAGAAAAGTTTTTCTTCCAACCCGCTCGTTTGATCTTATTTCGATAATATTGTAGATTATTTTTACGTCAGTGCATAAGTGATACAGTCAATTATATGTTGTGTTTTATCTAGGTGTTACAGTGATTTCTTATGTATTTATTTAAGACTGGCGAGTATTGATGCTTCTCCAAGCACAATAATAACTATACTGTAACGAATAAAAAGATCTCCTATTAGTGTGTTCAATTTTCCCGTGAGGACATTTCTAAAAACTTCTTTTTCAAAGGTCATATATATTTCTTGTAGCTAATAAGGTTTACAAGTAATCATTCATACTGGTAATAATCATTGATGGTATTGCAGATCTCAAGCAAGAAGCTAATTTGGTACAAAGTTCTACTAGCTTAACTGCTCAAGATCTTATAAACACAAAACTAATCACATTATTATGATATAAAATAATGCTGCAGGCGACGAGTATGATACCAATATAATGTATCTGAAAAGCTTGAGCAATCAAATGTGAAGAACTTTCACTCAAATTGTTCCCTTGCTTTAGTACTGTCTATTCATCGATGACTATTTATGAACCGTATTGTCTACAAGAAGCCTATGCTAAAGTTTTTTTGATTGGAAATATTTAAGCATGTTCGTATTCTAAAACTGTATACCATAAGAAGAGGCATTTTTATTCACTGCATTATTGTTATTTTTGCTCTTGAAGCATCATTGAAATTTTCCATTTTCAAATAAGAAAGCAAAAAAACAACCAACGTAGCACTTCAGTAACACAGAAAGTGTGGCTATTTGTGTAGTTGACTGTTTTGTTCATGTCACGATGTATAAATGAGTAGACGATTATACGAGAGAAAAGAAAAAAAGAAATGATTGAAAAACAAACTTTTTTTTCTTCGTGGAGAAGTCAAGTGTTCTATTTTTTGTTGCCTTTTTTCTTTTTTTCAGATTTTCTTTAAGAAAAACAATACTTTACTGCCGATGTGTTTCATATTTTTATCTATCATTGTTATCAACATATACTCAGCAAACACTACGAAATCCTATAGTGAGAGTAGTGGTTCATCTTTGAGACTTCACTTGTTAGAATTATTGTAGCAAATATGATTGGTGGAGCGTTGTTATTACAAGTAGATCAATTCCTTAATACCAAAAACTTGCATAAAGAGAAAAGAAGAAATGTTTGGTCTTGTCCATAAAAATACTTTAGTTCAATAACAAAATCAACATGAATATCTATCCTATAATCAAGTATCACTTTTTTCTCTACTTAATGTACATATTGAACTAACAAAAAACGATGCTCATATGCTGAAACATGGTTTTATGTAAACATCTTTTCGATCATGATGATTGAAAACGTGTTACAACGTGAAATGATGAAATTTCATAATTATTATATTGTTGATTAACAATGTAATCTATTTTTCTTTTGACGTGTAAAAATTTTCATGCATACTAATTTCTGATTTGTCATTGGAAAAGAAAATAAAGTAGGTGTTCGCTAGAATGAAAATCAAATCATAAATGAAGCGTAATATCATATTAAAAATTAATCACAATTTCATTCTATTAAATAAAAAAAAAACAAAATGTATACATGTACTAAAAATAACTTAATTAAATATCACATAATATTAATTTTTTTTCGTCAATACCAATAACTAATGAATTAATTCCAAATTCTTCTAATCCAAGAGGAAAATCAAATGATGATAAATGATATGTATTTGTTTCTATTGAATAAATATAATATTTTCCAGATAAACTTTTAATAAACCAATAATGATTTCGAAATGGAAAAAATCTATCAACATAATCATTATCTAACTGTATTATTTTTAATAAATTTAAATTTTTATCACGTAATTCAAAACGTCTATAAATTGTTGAACCTTTACAAATAAGTAAACCTATATATAAATTCGAAATTGTATTCATATGTGATATCCATTCATTTTTATCATTCGTTAAACAATCCCAACGTTTAATACACTCATTCAAATAAATATCATTTTCATTGCCATAGGAATATTTCCATAATTCAATACAAGTGCCAGACGTACAATATGAAATATAAAGTGATGTATCATTGAAACAAGATATACACCGAAAACTAAATTAAAAAAAGAAAGAAAGATAAGTTTTAAAATGGAATATTTATTTTTTTCTTAACGGGTAATCTTTGTATCGTGTAATAGAAATTTGTGTGAATCGATCCGTTTGATGGTTGAAGGAAAGTAAATGTCGTTGAAGAAGAATGAGAAATACTTCAGCAAATGAACACCATTTAATATCTACAATATCAACATCATTTATTCTTATTTGACGATTATTAGATAATATAATCGAAGATACTAATAATGTTTGTGGTACTGAAAAAGATAAACTTTTCATTAAAAAAAATTTAAGTAAATTTATGAACTAACTGTTTAATAGACGAGTTTGAAATTTGTCATTAATATAATGTAATTGTCTTTGATTATCTAACCATAAAATAGATTTATTCTGTTTACTTGATACAAATTGTTTCATATTTTCAACGGATATAGTACGATAAGATTCCAGCTGAGTATTATTCGGTAATGTCCGTTCATATGAAAATACATTATGTACCTTAATTAAATCATTAATAGAAATGTTTTTTGTATCAATATTTAGTTCACATTGTACTGATTCAAACAATTGATGCAGTTGATTTAGATCACATTCGATTGGTAATAATTGCTACGTAGCAAAAATTAATAAAAAAAAAAGAGTAAACAAAAAAAAACATGATCAAACTACTTGTTGAGATATTTCATCAACGCTTTGTATTGTTAATAATTGTTCTCCTAAATTCGAAATTTTTAATCTTAAGTAGTCTTTAATAATATTTAAACGTTGATTTAATTCTGTTGCTAAATAATTCATTTCATTTAAATTCGATTCATAGATGTTTTCAATATCATCAGATATTTGTTTTTTCCAAGCATCAAGCTTATTATGAGCATTTTGAGATGTTTTTTGAGTATTAAAATTTGAAACAAGATCTACAAATCCATCTAATTCATTAGATAATGCTTGTACTTGTATAGTGTTTAACGTATTATGTATATTAAGATGCTCAAGGCATAAACTTTTTGAGCAATGATGACAAGAAAAATATGCTATTTTTAAACATTGAGTTTCATTTTCACACGTATTTATTGAATTCATTGAAGGTAATAAACCTGGAGAAAGAGAATTCGATATAATACCTTCATTAAACATCTAAAAAGAAACAGACGAAAATGAAATTTACTGAATATATATGAACGAAAGTATAGTATTCATAATTTTATTTTTTTAAATCTGATTTCTTAGTCTGTTAAAAAGAAAGTGAACAATCTAATGAATAAGACAAAGAAAATTTATAGAAATGTCTTAAGTTTATTTCCATAATAAAAAAAAAATTGCATTATATACACGCAAAACTTCAGTAAATGGATTGCGTTTTATTAGTTCAACAATATTTTTTTTTATGATTTAATTCCAAATGTTGATCGGTAAAGTAATAACCATATTGGTATAATCGTTAAACATACAACATCTACTGTCCAAGTATTAAATAAATGATAAGATGCAATATATGTATCAAAATCATTTGAAAATTGAACAAAATCAGGAAAAACTATTGTACCAAACATTAATATACATGTTAAATAATGATAAAGAGCAAGAAAAATTAATGGATTAAGAAATATAATAAATAATAAACGACAACATAATTTAATAAACCAATGATCGAATTTTGAAAATCCAGCAAACATATAACATGGCATAAGAAAACAAGCGGTAAGAAAAGCCATAGAATAATTTAATAATGAAAGACAACCCAATAAAGCTGAACCCATTAATAAAAGAATAAATTGAAAATAATCAAATTGATATATATTTGAACGAAATCGAGGTAAAATCAATGGACTTATAAACATAGTTATTAAACTAACACCTAAGAAAGATATTTTCAAAGGTATCCATGTCAATACATATGATATCGCAAGACATTGAAATATTTCAATAAATATTGATGAATGATCAATAGAAAATTTTATTGTACGACCATGTGTAGTAGACAAATTTGTTGATGACGAACTAAGAAATGACATATAAAGAACAAGTGAACGAATTAAACCTGGTAACACCATTAAACCAAGTGGAATCATATATGTTGCAATTGAAACAAAATTTCGATGATTTATATGTAGATAAAAGAAAAATGATTGATGAAAACGTTCAAGTAAATTATTTAAACTACGAATAAAACCTAAATATATTAAGAAAGTTGTTAGCATAATCTCGACGAGATTAAAATGTGAAACATGATGTATCTAATGTTACTAATCAAAAGGATATTGTTTTATTCTGTCTATTTTGGAACACATATCGTCACCATCCTTTAATTTGAGAAGACTGTCCTTTCCGAGGTTTCTCAGGAACGGCTAGGCAACAAGTTTTCATAAGCTCAGCGCTCCCAAATGCTTCCATCAGGAAGATATGAAAGTCACAAAAACCAACAATGGCCAGAACTTTTTCAATGGCAAAAATCTATACTTAATTTCTTCGAACTGCAATGTTTTTCGTGGCACCTAAGATCAAATCAAGATACGTGCGCTTTTTTTTTTTGAAAAACATGATTCCTAGAGCTGAAGAGAAGCAAAATACCGGAAGAACCGTCAAAAAAAACTGTGTTAATTTATTGGTATTAATTTTTTAAAGGTTACTAAATTTAGTAGGAATTTCTCTTTAAATCTGATGTAGACATTAGTTCATGTAATATTATAACAAGACGCTGTTGATATACAGTCTGAGATCGTACAGCAACACTATCTATGGGGAAGCGGGAGGGGAGCCAAATTTCTATATCTATACTTCAACACTTCTTTTAGATTGTATTTCACAATATACTCGGATCATTCCAAGAAAACAAAAAGAAAACATATTGGATTTTTACCTTCAATAACATCATCAAAAGCTCTCATTGTAATTGGAGAAGTTTGATATTCATGATGTTTATCTAAACTTCCAAAAAGAGTTATCATTTCAATACGATAATGTAAAAATTGTCCATGTACACCATCAGATATACCAGTTGCTAATGTTAAAACATTAAGTAATAATGTTCGTGTTGATTTAAGTATATAATTAATAAAAGGTTCATTGGTTGATAAATCAGTATAAACACTATATAATGTAGTTGCTATAGAATTTTTATCACATAAATGTACGACTGTATTAATTAAATCAAGATTTGGTAGTTGACCATTAATACCATTATGTCGTAAATCAATCGAATAGAATTTTTCATGAGGAAATTCTAATGCTAAACCAGCTTGAATTGAACCAGCATGTGCATCAAGTGGTAAAGAATATGGATTATTATTAAAATAAGCATCTAACCATACACGTGTACCATATTCTTGTGCTGCAGGAAAAAGAAGAATAATATCTTTTGACATATAAGGTTTACGATGAAGTGCAAAACCAATTGCTAATGTATGAGCAATACCTAAAATAAATGTATTAGTAATTTAAATTAAAATTTATTTTTATGGTATTTACCGAATATATTAGCTTTGTATTGTTGTGATTTAGTTTGAATACGAACATGAAGTGGTGCAACAAGAATAATTGATTCTGTTGATGCTAATCTTAGTGCTCGTACAATACCATAAATATTTTCTTCTTGTTTATTAGTTGAATTTCTTTCAACATCTTGTTTATATGCTTCAATACCATTTTCAATTAACATTAATTGAATAACATCAGAAATATTATTATTTTTAAATCCTGTACGTAATTGTCCCATAATATGACGAATATGCTCAACAGATAGAAATAAATCACTGGAAACAAGACCAGGTGATAAAGCATTTTCAGATAAATATGTTCGACGACTAATTGCCGGCGAACTTAAATAGAGAAAGCCTAATAAACCAATAAAAAATAAACCAGAATAAACTTGAAATTGAAATTTATAAAAATTCTGTGGAACATCTCGTGATAATAAGTTGCTTAAAAGAGGCATCTAGAAAATAAACAAAAAGAAAAGGCTATTAAAGATTCTGAAATATTCTCGCATTGATTAAAGATATGAAATATTTGATTTCATAAAGTTAACCGGTTAAAAATTTATACTGTATCACTGATTACCTGTCCTTTGTCGTTCTGTTGAATGTATTAAATGGATTGGTTAATGGTAGTATCGAATGAAAAAAAAGAAGAAAATTTTGAGAAGACAGTTGCTTAGAAATGAACAAGAAAAATGGCGAATACAGAATAACACAAAAATACTAAAACAAACAATAATCGTTTGTTATTTTACATTAATGGAAGTGTATGCTTTTAAAGCCATAAAAATAACATCATGTTTTCTCTTATAAATGCATATATTTCTTTTTTTTCAGTTTAATAATCATGGATCTAAATGATACTCATGTTCCATTTGTTAATCAATCAGGTATATTCGATTGGGAACAAGATCGTTTAGAAGCTGAATATCGTCTTGCACTTTTTCCACCATCTGTTCCATCGTTACAAGGACCACCTCTATATGGTGTTTCGTCAACTACAAATGATACAATAAATGGTCCAGCATTAATTTGTCGACCAGATCTTCATACAGATCATATTGCAACAACTTATACACTTCTTCGACCGATGCCTTCATCTTATAATTGTCTTTTAGATCCATCACGACGACTACATGATAAGCCTCATCTTGATGAATTGGGTGATAATGTTACAGTGAGCATTCCAGGTCTTACTCGTTTTGATCGTGATCCACCTCTCTCGTTCGATTTACCGAAATTAAATGGTCCATTAAATAAAGAACAACCTGAATATACTTGGTATCATGATAATGAAACAGAAATAGGCAAAATTTTTCCTGAAAATTATTGGAATCGACATAAACTTGCAGGAAAATCACCTTCTGCTTATCTTGTACCTACTGTGCTCTAAAACAGAAAACTATTTAAGATAATATCCTAATCCTAAGTTCCTTTACTTTTCTACACTTTTTTTCGTTTTTTTTAATTAATATTCACATTAGTTTTAGATTACAGATGATAATATACACATTTGCTAATGAATGAACCAATGTATTGATTGATCATGAGTCGTACATAAATCGTCATCGAACAAAAGATGGTGTTCTCAATGAAGTTTACAAACATTGTAATTATATAAGGATTCCAAAATGTACAGCATATGATGATTATTTCAGACATAATTTTCTTTTTTTCATGTCTATTCTCTACTCAATCTGACGTCGAGGCATATGGAAAAGAATAACAATCAATTTAATTTTGAAGCCATTGGCAAAAATATATATATTTTGTTATGAATCGCTTAACCAATATTCATATTAGTTCTTACTGATAGGTTCACGAGAAGTTAAGTGTATTCTGTTTAACTTTTCTATACTCACACCTCGTCTACAACTTTAACAATAGGAAGTACAAACCTAACAAATGTGTGGGTGAGGGCAACGGCTCTATTTCATCCTCATCCAAAAAAAGACTAAAGGGACGAAAAGGAGTGAAGTCTGTGAAAGTCATAGCTATTTAATTTTTCGTAAACCCTTCTAGCTTGATTCATCATAAATCGATGTCAGATTTTATCAACAAAAAAGAATACGATTTAATAATGTACCTTCTTGTTATGTAAGTTCTAACGAATTGTATCATCAATAAAAAGAATGAATATTGAAAGAATCAATTTATGATCTACACAAGCAATCGATATCAATACTGTTGATCTCAATACGTCGAAATGAATATAAAGGATCAGCAAAGAATAAAGGAAGTTTTCTTTGAAGTTGAGCACCAAGAAAAGCAATCCAACGATCAATACATCGGTGATAAGACCTTATTTTTACGTTTAAAAAGATAATGTATTTGCCGAAAAAGTCAGTTTTCTTAACAGCCGTTGTTCGGTGACGTATCTTCAGTGGTATTCTGTCATAGTAAGAGATAAACTCAAACGTTTTTTTTTTGTTTGAAAACTCATTTTTTCAAAAAAAAAAATCTTTAATCAAAGAAAAAAAATGCTTTTCTTTAACCTGAATTTTACCAAAATTGGACTTGTTTCTAATATTTTTCAGCAGGAGTAGGCGAGTCCGAGTCACTTTGTTTTTTTTAATAACTTGGACTCAAAAATTTGGAAACGTTGACTTGACTGTTTGACTCGAGTCATTCGAATCGATAATTTAAAACAGCTTGGTTTAC